ATCTAAACAGTTTTAGTGAAATGCAAAAACTTGCCTTTCACATTGTTAAGTCTTATTTTGATGATACATCACCTGAAAAAGATCCATTATGTCTAATTATAAATGGTGTTGCAGAGACAGGTAAAAGTTACCTTATTAATGCTCTTAGAAATGTTTTGCAAAGTAAATGTGCGATTGCTGCTACCACAGGTAAAGCAGCTTGTAACATTGTGCACTCCCTGTTAAAGTTACCTATAGGGTCAAGAGGCAATAAAGACTCAACAGGACAAAGCTTGTGTAGATTACAGGAGAGTGTTAAAAACATTGGGTACATCATTATTGATGAATACTCCATTGCAAACAAGCAACTGGTTATAATGACAAAGTATTTGGTGGAAAATCACTAATTACTCCGGCGTCAGCGACGGAGTTGAAAATTCGCCCTGGTTTTGTTTTGTTGTTGTCTTTTTTTTTTTTTTTTTATTTTTCGTCGTCGCAAGTCTGAATGGCGCGAAACATTGTAGTATTTAAAATGTGTATGTAACCGTATTTATCTACGTCCCAGTCTTATCTGCTAAGAGTTGTGGTGCACAGCTTTGGCTAATTTTCCGATGCGCGATTCGATTTTGCTCGCATGATACAGCAATTCCTCCAAGAGCAACAAATAAACCGTTCTTTTCACGCTTTTCGACTAAGTTTAGATTGAATTGGGGTAAGAATATATTTAATACATGTAGATTTTGGTCCTATTTTAATAATATCGCTGCTATTTCGCCGTTTAACAAGATGATGTGGTCGTGTATGGGCGCGTTGAACGTCGTAGTTTGCACAGGATTGAACATTTAATATAACTATATAAGCGCGAATTCCAAAGGCAAAGTGTAAGACAAAGCGAATATATCATGCAGTTTATTTACGTTTTTGAACAATTGAACTTCTATACTTTTTAAAGTACAATGTCCTTTTGAATTTCGCGATCGAACATTTAGGTTCGCAAGGCATCTAAATGCGAATATGAACTGTATTGTTTATGTTCAGAAGCTCTATATTGTAGACTGGCACGTGCGCCGGAGTTAACGCCAGAACAGGCGTCTTGTTTTATCTGGTAATCCAGGTCAATTGCCACCAGTGGCAGATAGATAAGCCTCTTTATCATGCTAAACCATCAAATGCTGTTGGCGAACAAGGTTATCAAGCATATCATATGTTTGACAAAGTTGTTAAGCTCACTGTAAATCAACATGTGCAAGGTATGACATCTGAACAAATACAGTTCAGAGATTTGTTGTTACGACTTCGCAAAGGTGAGTCGACAGTCAATGACTGGAAATTACTTCTGACACGTCAACCATCAAATGTCACCAATTTATGTGACTTTGAAGATCCTACTAGACTCTTCTATAGTAATGAACAAGTTGCAGATTACAATAATGAACAGCTAACAAAACTTGAGCATCCAATTGCTCATATTAATGGTTGCCATTCCTCTGTATTGCCCAAAAAGATGCCCTCAGATGATATGTCTGGGTTGGAACCTGTTGTATTTCTAGCAAAAGGTGCTAGAGTTATGTTAACCATGAATTTGTGGTCAAGTGTTGGCCTCTGTAATGGAGCTACTGGAACAGTTGTTGATATTGTCTATCAGAATAACCATCAACCACCTGACTTGCCTATTGTGGTCATTACTGAGTTTGAGAACTATAGAGGTCCTGTTTTTAATATGAACAAACCATCTTGCGTTTCAATATGTCCAATCACAGTCTCCTCACAGTCAGAAACTGGTTTTCATGAGCGGCAACAGCTGCCTCTGAGACTCGCCTTGGCTCTAACAATACACAAGAGCCAAGGACTTACTCTTCCAAAAGCTTGGATAGATATTGGAAAATCAGAAAGAACTGCTGGAGTTTCATACCTTGCCATAAGCAGAGTGAAGTCGCTTTCATCTTGCGTCATTGATCCCATGACATATGAACGATTAACAAGTTTGAAATCATCAGCTAATTTACAATACAGGCTTGAGGAAGAAAACCACCTAGATCGTTTAGCACTGACTACCAATAGCAGTGCATTTTAAATTGACAAACAATGGAGTTTTAAATTAGACATGGAATTCTGTTATAGGTCGCATTACGCTTTATTCTGTATGTTAACTGTGATCTGTATCTTATATTAATTGTATATTTATTGCCACTGTATGTGTGAAAGTATGTTCAACGCATTATATGGTAAGTTTTTTTTTACTTCAATCCCCCTTTACAACGATCATTAGGCTAGGCTTAGGGCTATTGTAGTGTATTCTAAAAATTATGTTCTTTTTTTTTTGTAGATTCTTACTTCAGGAGAGAAATTGAAAGAGCAACTGAATTAGCAAACACAATGGCATTACTGGACACTGGTTTTTGCCAAAAACATTGGAATTTAACCAGACTGTTCAAATAATTGGATTACAGTAAATAACAAAAACACAATCAAACTGTAGTGTGTTAGTCATCTTATGAAATTGATTTGTGTAAGAAAGTCAAGAAACATGATTTTGCGCAAAACAAGAGTAATACAGGAAGAGACATGTACGGTATACTTTTACCTGTTGGTCGTACGGTATCAGTGGACAACTGAACCAAATTCATGTACCGTCGTGGCATACCTGGTAATTCGAAATGACGTCATTTAATTTGTTAAACTTGATTATCAAGCACTATAGTATTACTGGACACTGGTTTTTGCTGAAAATATTGCAATTACTATGGATTTGTTCAAACTGAAAACACTATGATTCGGCGACACAACTATGATGTGCACTCATCTTTTGAAAATGATCCGTGCAGGAAAGTGAAGAGACATGATTTTACGTGCAAAAAGTGTAATATAGTAATACACAAAAGAGACATGTACAGTATACTGTTACTTGTCGGTTGTACAGCATCCGTGGGCAACTGAACCAAATTTATTTGGCGTCACGGGCCTGGTTACTACAAAAAGGTTACTACGCTTTCCAGTTGAGTTTAGAATGACAATACTAGTTTTGTCCCAGACTCCAAAAAGAATTTATTTTGTGCGAGAAAGGTGTTCTTTCTTGATAAAAATGCGTGGATCTTTTAGGGAGAAGTTGAGACCTCTGCCTCTGCCAGCAGGGAAAGGAAAAAGTCACAAAATACACAAGTTTTTACGACATACCGCGGATTTTCTATGCAGAGCCAAACTTTGTGCAGATTACATTAAGAATATTTGCGTGGAAAATTATCTGCAAAGGCAAGAATATTTGCGTAGGAAAATTCCCTGCGAAGGCAAAACGTTTCGGTCTGGGCTTTTTCAAGGCAATTTAGGTCATACTGCCACACCTTTATCTTTAGATTTAGTTGATTCCACCCCATATGTCAGCCTAAAAGCACTTAATTAACTCATTTTTGCCGATTTTTTATATAAACATACATTGATGATATGAACTCGGGTCACCGGCGATAATATTTTACAATCATAAAAACATCGAAAAAAAAATTTGGGCAAAAAAGCCAGAAATCTGCCCCTTAGGTCTAATTTTACATCAGAAATCGATTTCCGGGATCAAATTTACCCTACAATCTCGTGCAAAAATAATGAGACACTTTACATTTTTACAAACGTTTTCCGACTGGCGCCCCATCCCCCCCAAAACAATGTTGTAAATGTGTTGTTGAATATCCCCTTACTTCAAAACATGTTGAAACAACATTGTTTTGGGGGGGAGGGGGGCAAAAACTACTTTTTATAGGATAAATACTTCAATAAATAGCTTGTCTCAAACATTTTTGCACAAGATCAATCTCGTGCAAAAATAATGAGACACTTTACATTTTTACAAACGTTTTCCGACTGGCGCCCCCTCCCCCCCAAAACAATGTTGTAAATGTGTTGTTGAATATCCCCTTACTTCAAAACATGTTGAAACAACATTGTTTTGGGGAGGAGGGGGGCAAAAACTACTTTTTATAGGATAAATACTTCAATAAATAGCTTGTCTCAAACATTTTTGCATGAGATTGTAGAAGGAAGCTGTTATTACGCACTGTTCACAAGGTCTAAAGAGATTGGCTAAGACAAATATTTAGTGGCCATGGTGGTCGACCAATCACATGTCGGAAGCGAATAAGATGTCTCTAAGATGTCTCTAAGATGTCTCTTTATACATCCGTTTATAACTCACAGGCTGTTATGATACTTACGCACGTGTGATATTATTAAATTTTGAACTAGATCGAGGCACAAAATATGCGCGTGCTGTTGTTTATAACTCAGAGGCTATTATGATACTTGCGCATGTGTGATATAATTAAATTTTGAATGATACTTATATATGCATGTGTGATATTATTATTAAATTTTGAATGATACTTATATATATGCAAGTGTGATATTGTTAAATTATGTTCAAGCTATCAAAACTGAGCCACATGAAATATCAGAACCATGTAATATCTTTTTGGTAATATCCAGCTGTCATTGCAAAGACAAAATCTATAGAACCATATAATATCTAGCGTACGATATAGACGTATGTATCCGCCTGGCTTTTCAGGGTGTCTGCGAGTGTGATATTGTTAAATTATGTTCAAGCTATCAAAACTGAGCCACATGAAATATCAGAACCATGCAATATCTTTTTGGTAATATCCAGCTGTCATTGCAAAGACAAAATCTATAGAACCATATAATATCTAGCGTACGATATAGACGTATGTATCCGCCTGGCTTTTCAGGGTGTCTGCGCACAGGCTATGTAATATCTTATGGGGCGTTTTCGCAATGTCCTGCTGTCAGGGCAAATGTAATATCTTATGGGGCGTTTTCGCAATGTCCAGCTGTCAGAGCAAAGATAAAATCTTGCACAAACAAACCTAAATATTTTTGTCAAAAAAGCTAGAAAAGTATACCTTTAGGCATTATACACCCATGCAGGTATTCAAACTAGTCGTATTTAAAATAGTCAAGAAACAAAGTCGTCCAGAATTGTTAACAGCATTTAGTTCAAAAGTGTACTGAAAGCAATGAGCAAACGTGGCCGTGGTTCCTGCCCTAACTGCAATGCAGCGTACTTCAATCGCTCAAAACCACCACAATGTGGAATGTGCGGTCACACGTTAGGAGGAACATTCGAACCCTCGAGTAAGAAAATGAAGTATTCTCCTCAAGCAGTAGAGGTTTGTGAAAGTATATTTAGCGTCAAAACCAGCACAAAAGATGATCGCTGTTTTGTTACCACCGATGGTACTATGTGGTTTTGTAGCGTGGAGGCCTGCAAGATTGTAAGGTCAGTGTCACACCAGTCATCGCGCTTGGCCAATTTTAGTTGCCGTCATGTAGACGAAGCCAAGGATTGCACTAAAACTCCGCCAGTTGCTATTCTGAAACCGGATTTAGATAAATTTGTTGGTAGTGAAAGCCTTAAAAGTTCCTTACAATCAATATTAAATTCAGCTGCATGTATGCAGAATTGTGTCATACAGGTGTCTGATAGAATGTTTTGTGTGCTGGGACAGACTTCAGCAAGCAATCCCCTCGGATACTGTCATGTCCGCAAAGGGACAAAAGATTGCGATTACGTTTGTACAGGAAAAGACTGTCGGGGATTCGCGGCAAAAGGGAACAGTAAGACGAAATCAATGTGTACACACATAGCTTTGCTACGGTCATGCTTTGTCGCTACTAGTAACGACGTCATTTCTTCTGCTGGTGAATCATCGACAGTGGTTGGTTCAACAGATGACGCAGCCGACGAAACGAGCCAACGTAGTTCGACACTGACTTTGGCAGAAAGGGTAAAAGTCCTGCCATATGTTCTACCCAGTGAGTTGTTGCATTCCATAGCGAAGAGGGATGCTTCAACATTACTTGGTGTTGGCGAAGGTTGGCCAAATAGTTTCAAACCTGATTTTGGAAAATGTCAGCTATGTGGCTCCGAGTTAGGTGACTGCCGTACCCATCCAGGGCAATCTCAAGACAACACATGCTATCTTATTACAGAACTTAACCCCTTCAAAGAAGTAAATATTATGGTGAAAATATGCTCATCCCGCGTTTGTTCTGCCATGCATCAAGCGTCGGTGGAAAAACTAGGTAGGGATAAAATAATATAATACTATATATGTATCCAAAACTCTACGTCGGTGAGCTTTATTATTAATTTTAGTAATTATTTCCATATAGGTTTGTTTAACGTCTCCGACAAAGTTTTGGTTTCGCTGGATATCCTATTGGAATTCAGGGAGTTTTTTAAGAAAGGGCAACCTATTGGAAATATTATTCATGCAAAGGTTCAAACTCTGAAAGCCAAATGCAAGGAGGTTAGTTCATGTAATGAAATAATGTTTCAGCTTGGTTGCTTTGAATGCTATAGCTTCGTCGAGTTCGTTCCAGATACAGGACGAATTTCGGAGCTCAATATATGCGTGTCCATGAGAACATATAAGAACGAGTCTAACCTGTTTCTTAATTAAACTTATTTATCTATATATTTCTTTTAGAATTCTGTCCCGACAGATAGGGAGATGGCGTACATCGAGGATTTACTCTATAATGGTTTTTATAGTTTTGAGATGATAACGGAAAGAAATCTCGATGACGTGGTCTGTGGTATATGTGGTGTATACCCTGAAATATGTTTGGGCGATGGCAATGAAAAAAATTCTTGCACAAACCGTCAGGTTTGAAATATTTTATACTACACGTGTATATATTATATGCTATATGTTAAATTGCGATGAACTCAAACGGCGCTATGCCATTTTCTTTATATTTTATAATAGGTCAACTATACTAAAGATGATGAGGAGCGCAAAGATATGGTTCCATTACAAGAGTTCCTTAAAAAACTTCGACGTCGTTGGCTCGAGAAAACGGTTTATACAAGATCAAAGGATAAGTTTTCAGTCGCGATAGAGGAACTGCCACCCATAATTGCACCTAGTCTCACTGGAACCGCAATAAACACCGAGACTGAAAAGAAAAGTGTGTACCTTAAGTCACATCAGCCGACAGGTTAGGGACGTCCAAATGTCTTGAATAATGATATAACAGTAGGATATCCCGATAAGTCTCCTACATTTTGGCTGAAAACTGTGGCTATTATATACTGATTCTGGAACGTTCATATGTTCAGGTGATCCGGCACTCCTACACAAGTTTATCTCAGAAGGAAAAGTTGATATGGATGTACTTAAAGAATGCGACGCAAAGTTTATCAACGATATAGCCCTAGCTTGTGGGATACCTATAACAGGGAAATCTAAGGTTTGCTGATTATAGCTAAATGCAGTTAATTATAAGTTTATAACATAAGATTTATCGGAGTCTTATATAATTATGTTTCAGTTTCTGCTTTTAAAACTGCTTGCTAAAAATATTTATTATCATTGCAGCAATACTTGTGTGGCGTACTGCATGACTTGTACGGGAGCATTTTAATTGGTAACTGTCCATGTCATGGTTTTGGGAAAGTGCCCGGACACACAGGTGGATTTTATCATTTGCTTTGCCACCACGGGGTGAGTTGTAACAATTAAAACGTAATACGCGATCGTATGGTCATGTAGCCTATTTAATTGGTATTTGAATTTTTTCCTAGGCAACAGTTGCGTCTAAATTTTTGGCGCTGACGGAGTCTGTTAGGGATGCTGCTGACCTGTACCTGTCTTTGAAACACCCCCCTGTTGTGTTTATTAATGACACGCCTTGCGGATTTGTTCGTCACCTTGAATGCAGGGATCCCAAAACAGCCGAAAAGTTGTGGGGAATGAATGCTGGGTGTTTTGAAAAGCCTGAATTAGGAAGAAAACCTAAGGAACACAAATGGTACTGCCACACACACTGCCACAGTCGACACAACTGCCACAGTCGCCACAACTGCCACAGTCGCCACAACTGCCACGGTCGCCACAACTGCCACAACTGCCACGGTCGCCACAACTGCCACGGTCGCCACAACTGCCACAGTCGCCACAAGTGCCACAGTCGCCACAAGTGCCACAACTGCCACAGTCGCCACAACTGCCACAGTCGACACAACTGCCACAGTTGACACAACTGCCACAGTCGCCACAACTGCCACAGTCGCCACAACTATCACAGTCGCCACAACTGCCACAGTCGCCACAACTGCCACAGTCGCCACAGTTGCCACAACAACCACTACATCTTTGTCACCACTACCACCTTTCCAACCACTAGCCTCTCACAATCACAACAGAATGTATGATTCTTACACAAACAAAATTAATATTTGAACTTGATGTCTTAAGGAATTAATATTTGAACTTAATAGCTTAAAGAGATTAATGTTTGAACAGTGAAACTATATGATTGGTTGACCACCACGACCACTGCAACATGGCCAAGAACCAATCAGCTACAACCTTTGAAACAGTGCTGTCTGACTCGGAGGAAGGAGTGGAGGAAGGCATTAGGGAGTTTTGTTACATTTTCCAACCGCATGACAACATTCTGAGCATGCGGTAAGCACGCGCTTAGCAACAATGATCGCTTAGAACTTATAAAATGCTATTTTCTCTGCTTCTTTTGCACATCCTACCCCAACAATTACTCAGAATTAAAACAGAATGATAGTATGTAAAATTCAGACATTTTAAATAACACAGAGAACAAAAAAAGCGAGAAAATACTGAATTTCTAAAGTAAATACTGAATTTCTAAAGTATATGGTTGCTATGGGGTAATGGGGAGTAATTTGAGATAACAAAGCAACCTATTATTTTGATTCATGTTTTGACTTATAATACAAATGCAGTTTATTACTAAATGCGGGTTTGAAAATACTATTTAAATCGTCTTTTCAATCTCTATCGTTTGGTGGTATTCTGGGGTCTGTATCCCAAATACTTGCTGAGAGGTGTGGCCATATGGCCTATAAATTGCCTTGAAAAACAACAGTTAAAATTTGAAACATGCATAGTGTCATAATAAAAATTTTGCCAATACAAAAAGGTTGTTTTGCGATGAATTTTTAGCTCAGTGGGCTAGACATTCGGCTCAAGCGTTCCAAAACTTTGACGTAGTTCTTAGAATTTTTCTTTAGATTTTTTAAAGCTTTTTTTCCTGAACACAAGGTAACTTTCTTAAAGTTTCAAGGGTTAAACCAACCTCGTTCCGTTTCATACGCTGTACTTCAGATGTGCCCAATACATTAATGACAATAGATAATGAGGTAAAATCTTAAAGGAAAAAATCTTATATTAAAGAAATTAACAACTTCTATGACATCTCTTTGTGCATTGCCTTTTATTCCACCTGTTAAGGCCATGGAGTGGAATGCAGTTGCTTCTTGAAACTTATAACTTTGTGGGTTACATTTTAAATCAACAAAATTGAGCTCCCCATGTACCCCCTCAATCATATCCATTGAAAGTTCATTGTATGCATAAGTGTTATTTTACTGCACAAATCGTATGTTGTTTTAATACTTTTTATTAAATTCAGATTTAGGCCATTAAGTTTCAAATTTATTGTTTTTTAAGTAAATAATTTTTAAATTTTTCTAAATGAAATATGTTACGCGGGCATTCAAACACATACGGGCGCTGGACGGTATTCTATTACTTTCATTCCCATGGCCTAAATCAGAGTTGAATAGTGACTTGTGCAAGAATGCATTCAATGTTGTGTGACCAGCACAAAATAAATTACACTACAGTTATTTTGAAGAAGAATGTTGAATACAACATCAGATTACCCCACTCATTGTTGCCAGAGTTGGATACTTCTCAATAATATCCTTGATAGGAATAGCTGTGGTCAATATGTCCTCTCTTTTTGTTTCATATGTAGCTTCCATAAGAGCTTTGATTTTTCCCTTGTCTTGCCTGTTTATCTGTTTGGAGGTTTAATTAATTTGTCACAACAGCAAATTAATTTTGTCACAACCGCAAAATAATTTTGTCACAATCGCGAATTAATTTTCTCACTGCAACCAACAATTAATTTTGCCTCTTTCAAACCCACTGTATTGTGATCCTCTTCGACCGCCAGGTCTCTTGGAAGATAGCTACAACATCGATGAAATCCGGTAAATGGTACATCCAAAGAAACATATTGCAAAGTCTTTCTTAGCTTCCGGAACTGACAAACTAACAAATTGTGAAATGACAAAATGCCAGCTTGTCAAACACGTCGAGGTCGAATTCTACGGGAGCAAAACAAAGGCGGTTTCGCACTTTTTCTTCAAAATTTAAGAAGTGTGGTGAGTCTCTTTAATGACATAGAACAGCAGCCATTAGAGACAGACATTCTAACTGAAGCAAGAAACAGGGTACTGGATGCAACTACATGGATGCAAGTACATCAAAAGACAGAGACAGGGTTATTGAATCCACATTTAACTTCGACATACTGCATATAAAATGAGTCTATCTAATGAGTCCAGAATCTATGTGCCACAGACTATTTGGGGTTGGGACATAGTATTTTCTACGATGAATAGCCATTCGCCAACGTAAACATATAACACAGTAAATTGTGGTATGATAATTGTACATTAATGAAGATTGTACAACTTACCTTTTCAAGAAGCTTGAAATTTCTAAACAACATTCTATTAGTTTTTTTCTTTGTATTGAAAAGGCAAAGAAAGCTTAACTTCTTCTTCTTTTGGCTTTGGTTCTTTTACTTCATTACAATTCACGTTGGATGCAAGCACACTTGAAATTTCAATCTCCTGAATTCAAGTGTAAACACTTAATCATTAGTGAAAAGATTGGACATTAATCATGTCTTCATGCTGCAAATAAAGGTACAAAAACAGCCTACCCTGTCGACTTTGCTGTCACTTTCTTCCACTAACTTCAGATTTGCAATTGTTATTTTAATTATCAAAGCATTGCCAGCCTTTATTCCACATAGGATAAACACTTGCACGTCTGCTTCTCTTAACACATCATAATCAGTAAGCTAAATAAAAGAAATATTACTAAACTAAAGTAGGTCTAAACTAAAGTAGGTCTAAAGAAACTAAACTAGGTCTCGGATGGTTACTTCATAAAAATATACAATGTATATGTAGCCAAAGTAGTCAGGGGCGCAGGAAGCAACTTTTGGCGGCGGGGGCAGCCATTTCGAAAGGGCATCTATTATTTGCAACGTCCAGTGTGACGTGTTTTCTAATTTTAGAATTGTTTTTTAATCTTATTAGAAATGATATGTAGCTTTATAATTTACCGTTCAAGAATATTCCTGAGAAGATAAGAAAGTAAAAGAATAACTGTTTTAGTATATATACTTATTATTTATATAGTCATATAGATTTGTTTGATACAAGAGACGACCAATTACTACGCTTCTATTGATGTCCACAATTAACCCCTAAATTTACATGTTTATTCAAACGACCCGAAATATTTTCGCCGCTGCTCATTGGCCTGCACAAAATCTTTAGCAATCGTGGTGGTACAGACATTGTCAATTCTGTTTTTATGGATTGTGCTGAACATTCAGTTGTTTAGGCTGTTATGAGACATAGTTGAACATATCCCTGATTTGATCCGACGCATAACGCTAAAACTCCTCTCCGCGGTTGCTGACACTAAAGGCACGACATTGTAAAAAGACAATAACTTGTCAATTTGGGGTAGACTTTCTTTGAAGCTTTGCTTCTTGGACAGTACATCACAAATAGTGGAAACTTTAGTGACTTTCTTAAGAGGAATTTCAGATTCTTTGTTATATAACTTAATATATACTGGAAGTTCCTCAAGCTCGCTTTTTAGCCCATCCAAGTCGATAATCTCCGACAGACTTTCCCCCAGTTTCTTCACAAGTTCATCGGAACTGGAATACTCCTTATTTGCTGCAGCTAACAGCCAACTTTCAATTTCTTTCAAAACTTGTAAGTCATTCTGGTCGAAGCGAGTCTTGATGGCTTCCTTGATAGAGTCTAATGTTTCGTAAAACTGGCGTCGTAACTCATCTTTCTCATTTAATGTTACTGGTGCAACTGGAGTGCTGGAATGCACAATGTAATCGGTCATGTGTGTTGGTATAGTTCTCTTTCTCTTCGCTCTTGGCGCTTGCTGTTGTTCGTCACTATCATCTTCTTCCAATCCAGTCATTTTCTCTGCTTTCGCAAACAGACGTTCGAACTCTTCGGATGATCGGAGTTCTTCTAGGCGGATGTAATGCTTTTCGATACTTGTTCTGGCTTGTTCTCGAGAAGGAATGCAAGCTCGTTCATCGCAAGCAGATTAAAAGTATTGGGAAGAGACTTGAGCTTTTGCAGCAACCCTTTCAATTTTTCTCAACATTCTGGAGTAACACTCGAATCTGCAGACAAGGTCTCCAAGGTTTCTTGGAGCTCATGGTTCTTCTTAAGGATGACATCCGCTGCAGCTCCTCTTGTAGTCCATCTAGTTCTTGAAAGATTTTTCAGCTTCAAGTTGCTACGTCCATCATCCGTATTCTCCTCCGACAATTCCTTCTGGATATTTTAAAAAAGTAAAACTCTCTTCGGGCTAACACCAACAAGGGCATACATGTTTTCGCAGAAATCTTAGGCGTCAGCAACCATTCTTGAAAGTGAGGTTACATCTTTGAAGACTAGCTCGTTGCAGTGAGCAAAGCAGTGAATGTAAAGCGCATGTTTGCAAACTTCATCTTTTAAAAGAACTCTTAACCGTTTCATTGCAGAAGCTCCATCAAATGCCATACCAGCCATTTTTTGAGTGTTCATATTACATCGGACCAATATATCTTGAACATACTTTAAAAGGGCTTCGGATGATAATCCCTCCTCGCATGGCATTACACCAATGAAATCCTCCAAAACGTCATAGTCTTCAGTGCAATGACGAACAGAAAAAAAGAACTGTTCAGTTTTCTAAATGTCACTTGATTCATCGCAAATGATCGCTTAAAATTTACTGCCATTAATGTCATCTATTAGACTTCTTCTCTCCCTCAGCACCAAAGTTTCTTCCTGTTCAACTAAAATATTGTGAGACATGTACTGATTTTCCTTTAAAAGAAGATTTAATCCTTCATGGTCAATGGCTTTGTCTTTGTTAAATTGAACGATGTTCGAGTCTTCGTTTGTATGACCTCGAATTGCTACACCTTGTCTAAGAAGCGTATTCAATGGGTTCAAGTGGGGTACAAGGCCTTGTCGCCTCAGACGTTGTTGCTCCTTTATCTGGCTATCTATCTGAATATCAACTGTAGGTTGGCTACTTCTTTTCTGTTTTGTGGCATTCTTGTGATTCTCGCTTTGTTCGTGATCCGT